CTAACACTATAATTAGGCCCCTACTGAATTTATGGTGGAAGTGGTCTGCATATCAGGTCCTTTAATATAGCAGATACCTCTGCAAGGCTCCCCACCCCCACCAATCGGTCGACGGGCCACACTGTTTGCTCCTGATTGGCAGGGAGGCAAAAATCATGGTTTTAAATATGGCACTGTTTTTGCCTCCTGACTGGGCAGAAGTAACCACAAGGGCCCCAAAGCCAATCAGAAACCCACTTCCACTGTAAATTCAGTAGGACCTTATAATATATAGTTTTATATACAGCCATCTTTAAAATAACATCTACACTTTTCCTTGAACTTATAAATCATTACTATCTTACTTTTGAAAAAGTAAAAAAGTCCACAACAAAATAATAATTTCATAGTTTAGTCTACTTGACCCTATTGCTAATGCTCACCTTCAAAAATATTACAGTTGAGCCTGATGATATACTGCAGTTCTTAGAATACTAAAATGTCAACTATATGAAGTCATAAAAATTTGCACTGAGCAGCCAGTCAGTTCATAAATGGTAATTAAGATAATTGCAGTATGTGCCGTGGAAGAAACAATGGTAAACATATATATCACAGACTTAGTGTAGTGTAGAAATTAAACTAGCTTTAGATGAGTTTACTCAAGTATTAAAAACTTCTTACTGAAGCAGTACAGAGCTCCAAATTTATTTTTAGTTTACTCTGTTACTAAGCAGAATAAATTAACTAGAATTGAGCTTTGGGTCAATAGGCACAGACTCCTTCTGATACCCAAGCCAGCTCAGGCATCTCTCTACACTAACTGCAATCTTTTAAACCAAAATGTAGGGTTTTTTAATTTGTGGGGGTTTTTTGTTTGTTTTTTTATGGGAGGGAGGGGTTGTTTGTTTGTTTGTTTAAATCAAAAACGTATAGGATTTCCGTACCCCACCTTTAATTTAATCAGATCAAATTGAATCAAATCTTTTTGCTTTGTTTTTAAACATTCTCATCCTGGTGTTGCCACCTACCTCTTTCAAAGTTGTGCTACAATATGAAAATTAAAGCAAAACTGAACATAAACAAGAATGAAACTAAAGTTTAAACAGTTCAAAACTATTCTTTTAGTAGTGGATATATAGATATATATCTCCACAATTTTATATATATATCTCCACAATACTAACATACAAATATTAGTTTTGTCAGTCTTGCAATGGACTTCCAAAACAATGTCAATACAGAAGAAATCCAGCAACTGGGTATGAAGGCAAGCATCAAAGCAAACTCTTATCATTGCACAAGTGTCTAAAGTAAAAATGTATCTGGTAATAGATGAATCTATCAACCTCCATGCTGGCTCAGTCTTTGGCATTTGCCAAACAGAAACTATAGTACCTATGCCAAATCCTGAAAAGAACTTAGTGTGGTTTTACAGAAATTAGACCACAGTCTACTTGCATCTAACTGATAGAGCTATATACAGTCTAAGTGACATGTCAGATAATCTGGGATCTGGCACATTAATATTTAAGGTATTCTTTTTATGATAAAATAGAAAAGCTGACTCAGACACTCAGCTTTGATGCTGCACTTTAGACCTGTAAACTTAAATGGAATGAAGCTGCAATTTTCATGCTGATTAATGATCTCCCAAGCTAGTAAAATATCCAGTCTTTAGAAACAATTGTATTCAGTACATTACTATGGACTGTGAATAACTCCAAGACAAATCATGGTTTGTAGTTTCACACTAGTGAATACTGCAATTGCAGCACATCAGTTTAAGCTATCGAATGTACCTCCGAGATAAAGAGAAAAGGAAATGTGGGTTATACATGTGTCATCACTGGGCACCGATTAAATGAAAAAAGAAGCATCTAGCAAGAAATAAAAAAAAAAGCTGTTCAGTATAAATCTTGGCCAGGGTAGAATATTAAAAAACAATGGAAGTTATTACAAAGTAATATACTACATAAGTAGCTTATTCCTTTGGACTTTGAGTTCTTAAAAAAAAGAAAAAGAAAAAAACAAGCAATGACAACAAAGTTCTGTTACGACTTCTTTAAAAGAAACTGCTCAACAGTTCTCAGTAGACAGCAATGTCATTGACTGACACCTATAAAGGAAGACTCTGGTTTACTTCATGCTATTCCAGGTGTTTTACTAAAACCAAAGTTAGTACAACTGTAACAAATATAAATTTTACCAGTACTTAAAATACATTTTAATATTAAATTTTATTTACATTTAAGCCGGATAATGGAACAACCTCCAAGAGGGAAAGGCTTTTTAATTGAATTATGCCTATTTAAAACACAGGAGAAGGTCCACTACTTAATATTTTGTTTTTAAAATGATGAAAAACAAGTTGGTGTTAGTTGACTGGAACCTGAGTTATCGGTTATCTGAACCACTGAAAGAACTCCAAGAGTCTATACAGCCTCCCCACCTCTGTCTTCGCTGTGGAGGTGGCCTTTGTGTACTTTTGTGAGGTGGTGTCACTGAATTCATTACAATAGGTATGGATATTTGATATTCATAACGATCCAACATCTGAGCAATCTTCTCACGTGTGACCCCATGTTTATTCTTCCTACAAAAATAAAACATTTAAATAAATGTTTTCATATTTTTAATTCATTTACAATCTTTTTAAGCTATGGCAGAATATTGCATTTGGCTCCTTCCATGCTCTCACAGAACTGTTAATTGCCATTTAATGTTCTTTCCATTTTCAGGATCTGAAGAAACCAAGTGGGTTTTTTAACATTACATAACAATATGGTTAAATATAATTTAAATAGACATACATTCATTACTAAGTCATTCGATTACATGCATATGGAAACTAACATGCTGTGCTATGTAAAAGTTCAGATTTAACTGCATAGTATTTAAAGTCTAACAATATTAAAATTGTGTTGAATCTTTTTAACCACTATTTACTGCATATACTGTATGCAATATATTTAATACGATACTAAACTCTTCTCCTTTCTTCAACTGAAATATGGCATTGACAATGTACATAAACTGTTCGAGAATATTTCTTTCTTTTTATCTGCCAGATTCTACAGTGATTAGGGGTATAAAAGTGACAGGATGAATGAATGCATGGATTTAAGACCTCATCTATAGTTTGCAAGAACAGCACAAGAATGCCAAAAAATTATATAGCATCAAGAAATTTGCTAATAAATGAAACACTCTGCATAAAGTCTTAACAAGTAACGAACCATTTTATGTGGATCAAGTTATATGGACAGAATATTTTAAACACATCTAACATTACCTCCTGATCCTATCTGCAGATATATACCAAGAATTAAAATATAAGATACTCTTATGGAAGAGAAGGTCAACAAAACTGTCTCGCACTTTACCCCTACAAAGAGTTTAGCAAACAGAAATGACATAGTAGGTCAGACCAACGGTCCATCTAGCCCATGATCCTGTCTCTGACAGTGGTGGGGTGGATTCCATAAAGATCACTCAGCTGGACAGATCTAGAGTGATCTATCCCCATTCAGTACCTTCCCTGGCATCTACCATTACTGGTTTAGAGATGTCAGAGGAAACCTCTTCAACCACTCTGCTGAATAACCATTAATAGATGTATCATCTATAAATCGGTCTAGTCTCTTTTTGAACCAGGCTATGCTATCTTCCCGTGGCAATGAATCCCACAAGTTAATTATGCATTGTGGAAAAAAGTTGTTTTGCATTAGGTAAAAAAGTAGTGGACAAACTCTACGTGTTCACTCAGCAAGTCCAATCAGTACATGGCCAATTAGGAAGAATAAAGTTTCTAAGGAAAAAGCAATTAATATACCTATTTAAGCTGACACTTAAGAGTGGTCTCCTTAGAATATACATCACCTCAAGATATATGAAATATGAATTACCAATGTTTAATATTTAGCAGTCAATAGAAAAAATGAATGAAATCAAACAACTAAGGTCTCCTACAAAAGTAAGCATTAGAAGATTACCAATGAGGTAATGCAGGGGTGGTAAACTCACACTTCCTGCCCCACCCT